TATTTAATTTGTAGAAACAATCGTAGCTTTCGACTGGATAAGTAAAAGAGGAGAATGGAAGGAAGCTACAAACTTTACTAAGTAATGAATTGGAATCAATCAGTACACAAATAATCCTTTGTTTGTATCGACAACCCCATCTTATTGTTACATCATAGTCTGCTTATGCGGACATAGAGCCGAGTACTGTAGGTCTTGACAGTCAATTATGCTACCGTACTATACCTACAACTGACGGACTTCTGAAGACGAGAATAGAACAAATAAAATTAATGGAACGGCTAATCCTTCTGTTTGTTGGTTGTAACAGACGCTTAAACTCACTAAGAACAAATAGAACAACAAATAAACAACTTTTGCATAATTAAAAATAATTATTTATTTCTCAAAATACAGGAGTGAAAGAATCCCTATATTGGGTGTTAACTTATGCTACAGTAATATATACGGTCCAATATTGCCAGGTGTTCACTTGTGTAAGTTTCAATCGTGGGAATGAAGATACTATTTTGCAAGAATACGGTATTTCGATTTTTTTTAAAATTTACATGTACTTCTTGCGATTGGTTACGTGTATGTTAGCTTATGACTTGCCAATAAAAAGATCATACTTGGTTAACTGCGCATGTTCTGAGTTCACGTAGCACGTGATGACGGTCCGTATGGTCATTCACTTCAATGACAGTTCACTCACTTTTGTTGATCTTGTCTGAAGGATAACATGCTGGAGTTATTCTTTTTACGATACTTTTCAGAGCTGTCAGAGTGAAATGATTCGCGAATTAAATTTTGACACTGGTTAGCTTTTTGTAAAACCGAACTACACCCTGCACGGTTTTTTTTTATTTTTTTTTTTTATATTTAGCGATCTTTGTGTTTGCAATGTTGGAGAATCTCTGGTGTTAGTTTGTGCACATATGCCTTTTGTTGTTAACAAACATGTATGTATATTTTTTTAGCTTCATCAAACAGATTGCGGAAACGCTGTTGTTTAAAAAAACATCCAAAAATATGTGCATGTATATTCTCATTTACTAACGCACATCATGTGCATAATGAAATTTCAGGCACATGTTATTATATTGACGCCATATTGGTTTTCGTTTATCACGATCATCGGTTATCTCGATGCTTTTTGGCAAACCCCTAGGCCGCCGACATAACCGGGTTCGACTGTACTTCCTAACTGTTATTTCAACTGTGACTCACATTGACATCATAAGGGGCTCCGAGTGGCCGAGTGGTCTAAAGCGCTGTCCGTTACGGATCACTGCCATCTCACCTCTATCTGCGTGGGTTCGAGTCTAAGATTCGGCGAATGTGGATATGTGAGAGAGCTTGCCAGTAGCTTCTCGTGGGTCGGTGGTTCTTTCCGGTGATTTCCCGGTTTCTTCCTCCACCATTAATACTGGCCGCCATGTATAGCCTTTCCTGTGCTGAAAAATGGCGTTAAACCCCACAACAACAACAACAACAACAACAACATTAACATCACACGAGACATAACAGTTTCGTTCTCGTTCCAATTCCACAAATAAATGAATGAAATTCATTACACGATTTAACTACGTTATTTCCAGCGAATTCAGGTGTTTAGCATACATGAAATTTCACTTCATGGCTTAACATCGTTATTTTTAGTCAATACGCACTTAAGTCTTTATCATGCATTAAATTATCTAAGGTCGGTGAATTCACACGGATTCTCGTAACTCGTATCAACTAAGGTAAGACATAAAATACCTGATTCCTATAACTATCAAGACGACAAATTCAAACAATTCGTCAAACTTAAATGTGAGCAAATAAATCCAAGCAAATGGATATATTGGCATCAACGGATTACAGGAGATTGACTCAAATACCCTGTGCTTTCAAGCTTTGCTCGCTTCTACAGCCCAAATTGTGTCCGTCGACTTTCCAGGCAACCGGTCCCTGGGATAATTGTTTTACGATAAAATTTCTTCTAAATTCAAACTCGGAGTCTCCTAAATTTTTTCTCTTGCAGAAAAAAAAGCAGACTGACTTTGTTTTGCGATGGAGCATCTTAAAACAAAGAAATTTCGTGTGGGAACCACGCCTCTTTTTCAGCGTAACTAATCCAGATTAAATATATTTTCCGCCTTTTTATTGCTAGGCGCCAAAACTGGGGTCCGCCTGACCCCTAGATTTCCAAATAACTGATTCTGTGCAATCTCAGGTCTGACATTTTCGATACAAAAATCGAAGATAAAAACCTTTTTCTTCCAGTCTGCATGACTGTTACATAAACGAAGGCTTAATAAGAAATCACTTCTTTTCACGACACAGACAATAAAATCCTTGCAGTATAGCGAGTTAACACACACACACACACACACACACACACACACACACACACACACACACACACAAGCCTGTCTGTATAAATCTAATTAATCGTTCACCTGCTCAAATTAATGTGCTCTTTGTAGAACGACAGAAATTTGCACCATTACAATTAAGCTACGGAAGATCTGGATCTTTGTTGTTTGCAGTTGGACTCGACTTATAAGCGAGCAGAGATGGTGTATTGTTCTTGTTTATTACAACTTTCAGTGAGTGGTTACTTAGTTTCAACAGACAACGGTAATTCTGTTTACATAGCCTATTTTTTTTACAATTAACCTACTTACAATGGATCAAAATAAATACTACAATTTAATACATCTATTATACATGTTGTATCTATCTGGGTATGACATAACTCGTACAAACATGTCTAATATTGCATATATTTAGATATAAAACTCGTACAAACATATATAATATTACATTTATCTGGGTACGATATAACTCGTACAAAACTGTTTTATATTATATCTCTCTGGGTATGATGTAACTCGTACAAAAAAGCTTAACACTGCATCTCTTTTGGTATATAACTGGTACAAACATATTACATATTTCTGGGAATCATACAAACATGCATATTTTTTTTCCTTTTTGTAATTTTCCCCCAATTAGTTTACCTGCATCTACTTGCTGATTTACAATCCCGTATAATTTACATAAGGTTATGAATCAGTGTCCTGGATGTGACTGAATACGATTAAGATGAAGAAAACATTACCTAATCCTCTTAGCATGTGCTCTCGTAGTATAATAACAAAAAGAATTTAAATTAAAGTTAAGCATGCCCTTTTACGATACTTATGAGGGCAGACGTTTTTTTACCTCTACTTGTGGATTCTTCAAAGGGATATAACTATGTGCGGCAGTTTGTTAATAATAGAACTGCGCATAGAGTAGTGATTGCGGAGAGAGAGAGAGAGAGAGAGAGAGAGAGAGAGAGAGAGAGAGAGAGAGAGAGAGAGAGAGAGAGAATGACATTTTTTATTTGTCACAAAGGAATGAACTGACGTCAAACTTTGTTTAAATTAGATTGTTAAAAACATGCTTGATTGTTTTAGGAAAAAAAAGATTATTGGTCTAGATATTTAGCAACTTGTTCTAATGATGCATAAAACACAAGATATTGAGACTTGAGTCTTTCCTTTGTTTCCGTTACATGACCAATTAATACACTTGGGGGGGGGTCTTTTTTGTATGCATCCTTAGGTTTTCTTTTCCTTAATAATGCGTGCAAGAACGAATTAGTTTAGATGTCCATACTGCTTAACCAAGCTTACAAAAAAAGTCATGACAACTCTAGCATTGTTAGATCTTCACTACAATTATCTGTTCTGCATTGTTATTTCACATTTAATTTTCATATCTTTGCGCTGTTGCAATTCAAAATTGTATCGGTATTTATTTTAAAAACACCTGTATCACTGAAGCTGCTACTTTCATTTGACGGCTTATATGTGGACAGGATATGTTCACTAGACACTGATGTCTGGGCGTAAGATGTTCGCTGGACATCTCATATATGAGAACTACTTGTTTGCTAGACAGTTCGTATGTGTGACGTATGAGCTCGTATGTGGGCATGAGATGTCCACTCGATGTCTCATTTGTGGGGTGCAATGCTCATTCGAGAGTTCATATGTGGGCGTGCAATACTAACTGAATATATCATACATGTGTGTGTGTGTGTGTGTGTGTGTGTGTGAGAGAGAGAGATTAATTGGGCATTTTATTCGTGGACGTGAGTTATTTTTTCGAGAGCTCATATATGGGCGTGATTTATTCAATGCACATCACACACACACACACACACACACACACACACACACACACACACACACACACACATATATATATATATATATATATATATATATATATATATATATATATATATATATATATATATATATATATATATATATATATATATATATATATATATATATATATACGGAGATACATACCAACCTTGAATGGACAACTACATACCCATGTGTGGTGCCATAAATCACGGCCATCAATCTCTTATGCACCGCAAACATTTGTGACGAGAAAGCACCACTTTTATTAATGCAGTGAGATTACAAAACTAGCCAGATTTAATGCCTATAGCTGCAGTCTGATATGCGATTCTCACGTACAGAGTGGCATTAAAAAGAACTACAGTTTTGACCTCTATAGCTACGATTTCCATTTTTTTTTCTAATCATATACACAACCACCAGTTTCTGAGACTCGAACCCAAGCAGACAGAGGTGAGATGGCAGCGACCCGGAACAGTGAGCGCTTTAGACCACGCGGCACCCCCCTCCCACACAAGCACACACTTAACAGCTAATGGAAAACTTTTCAGTTATGTGTTTGTCGAAGCTATAATGCAGATAAAGCATTTTGTTATCCACCTATAACGGACATCTCTATTTTATAGTATGTGTCATCAATCTAGGAATGTAGTTTGACCTATTTGTCACAATTTTGTTATATTCATCGAACGAAAATTGGTAAATGTGAAGATTTTGAGCCGATGTATCATGTTAAATAAAGTTATATCTGACATAGAGAATAGCTGACGTGTTTACATATGCATGACTGTTAAACCTCATTATACTCTTCTTTCGGATACGATCGCTCCGGTGGCTTAAGTAGTTAGAGTGTCCGCTTCTGATGCGGGAGGTCGAGGATTCGAATCCTAGCCGAGTCATACCAAAGACTCATAAAAATGGTACTAGCAGCTGTCCCGCCAGGCGTTTAGCATTAAGAGGGTAGTGTTAGGGCTACAGACATAGTTGCGATATTACTGGAAAGTTGCTAAAGCTACGTTTAAAAATCCATCTCTCTCTCTCTCTCTCTCTCTCTCTCTCTCTCTCTCTCTCTCTCTCTCTCTCTCTCTCTCTCTCTCTCTCTCTCTCTCTCTCTCTCTCTCTCTCTCTCTCTCTCTCTCTCTCTCTCTCGAATTCAAACCCAAAATATTTCTTGAATCTCGAGTTCAACTGTTACTTAGCTGTTCGCAGAACGCGTTACTATGGGAGACAACTCCGCAGAGTTTAATTCATTTCCCGATTGCCAGCATATTTATGTTCATAAAGTACATACCAAGAAAAGAAATTGTTCTCTTCGAGTAAGTGGAAAGAACGAGTAGATATGGAGTAAAGGATATGTCGAATCCCAATCAGGGCAAAAATCATGTCAAGTGATTGGGGAGCGGAGGCAAACTTTTGAAAAAACCCTGACTTTCCCCAAAAGGGCACCAAGTGAAAAGTTTTTGTCTATTTACTCAAGAAGCATAATACCTCATAAATGTGTGCAAGAATAAAACGATGGTCAAATTTCAAGTGACAAGTGAATGTACATTTGTGATTACGTTTGAGTGTGTACGTTGTTTTGTTTTTTCATCCGGGGGGGGGTGGAAAACGCGGACAAGCCTCCACCCCACCCCCACACACACATCCGGCCCTGCCAAATGGGACATTCTTTCTTTCCAAACCGAGTATAATAACTTCGTTTCTCGTAAAAGAGTCTCAGTTATCGCGTGCCCCAGACCTCTAGTGTGGTTCTGAGAGATCTCCGATAAACAAAGGTCTTGTAAAAATGTTTCAATGATTTTCAATTAAAAAAAAGCTTGGATACAACTTTGCTGAAGCGAGTATATAAAAACTAAAAACGTCTCTTCGTAATTAATTTTGCTTTACATACTTTTGCAATCTAAACAAAAGGAAACCTTAAAATTAGAACATCTATCGTCATTTTGTAAGCAGACGTTCAATGCAAGAGGCATGCCCCTTTCAGCCAATAAATATGTTCATGTGTGCACAACAAATTGCTTCATCTCGTATTTACAATGACATATTACGACTTTTCATCTCAACAGCCAATCAATTTGCTTTCAAAATTTTGGGATAGCTTCGTTTTGACGCCGCAAGGAACTCTCTTTGAATTAACTTATACACGATCAAGGATCTACGGTGCTAATTATATAGACAAACAACAACAACCAGTCTAGATGAAAATAAAATAAGTATATATGGGTTTGGCTGTCCCTGATTAGCTGATAATAACAAGTACAAATACAGTTAAAATAATTTGTTGAAAACTCATCCTATCCGGGAAAAAATAGTCCATGTTTAATTATTCCCGTAATTTCAATTCTTTCACAGATTATAATTCGCAGCACACATCAATGAAATTATCAAATGACCTTTTAGGTGCGATATTGAAAATACGTGCTTCAGTGTCATATAGATCAAAAGAATGCCGTAGGGAATACGATTTTCTCTATACAGAAGATTGCATCAAGTATGTATCTATACTGAGAAATATAATTTTGATCATGAGCGTTCAGAAAATTAAAGTTACTGATGTTTAATATCATGGCTTTTATATAGGTTTACTTTGGGAGCGGTATTAGTACCGTGAGTCATGAATATGTTTGACTGTAATATAAGTTAATAATTGTAACATAGCTCGACCTTTCTCTCAGATCGTTGAATAAACTATGAAAAAGTTGTAGAAACTCGCATCAGTTTGGTGTGTTTGGTGATTCACTTCTAGCAATCTGACTAAAATCAGATCTTCGCTTCCTTCGTGAAGATCTGACGACGACCGCTTAAGAGTCATGTTCTGGCAACCTATGTTTGTACCATAATGGCTAATTTTGTCAACCAATCAGATGAAATCTTATGTCTTCGCTTATGGAGACTGAGCAGTGTGGATGAAAAGCATGAATGAGTTACTAACGATTTGATTCATTTCATATTTTTTTTTTAAAGATGCATTCCCATCGGCTGGCCAAAGGTCACCGCCAGCTCTTCGTGTAGGACAGCGGAGATTTGAATTTAATCAGATTGTCACCTCTGGTAAAATACATCATATATGTTACGACAGCAAAGGCTAAGAATATTCCTATTGTGACTTGTCTCATTCCGTCAGCGTATTGTTCCATGTGAACAACACTAGTTCAGACTTGATGTTTATTTTCTGACTTGACGGATGAAAAGGGGCAAATTTATGTCGATCTAAGAAGAACACATTAAGTTGGACAGGTGAACGGTTAATTAGATTTATGGAGACTATCGAATGGTTTAATCGCCGTAACGCATTGATTGCCAAATGTCACTGTCATGTAAGCATTGGATCTTTATTAAACCTTCGTTTATTTAACTCGGAAGGATAGGTGTCAACTTCCGTATAGAGAACTGTCATTTCTAAAAGCTACCAGGAATCTGTGTTGGGTAATCTGAGATTGTCAGACGAACTGCATTGTTTTGAGCCTAGTTCAGGCGGAGAATGTATTTAATTCGGATTGTACAGTGATATTCTTTATATAAGTTTGATGAATCGTTTGAATTTATAATCTCGATTATTATAGGTATATATGTATCTAGAATTTCGTGCCTTACTTTAGTGCTAAAAGTTGCGAGAATCTGTATGAATTCTCCAATTTAGATAATTTCACATGTGCTAAAAACTTAAGGCGTATCGACTAAAATTAACGTTGTTAAAATTTCATATCTGTTAGAGTCCTAAATGTAGGTATTTGTTATAAATGCCACGTAAAGAATTTTATTCATTCATTTGTGTAATTGAGACGAGACGGGAATTGATGTCTCGGTGTAGTGTTGAAACCGCCATTAGGCAAGATTATTAATCGTGTGAAACTAGGTTTGATCATGATCTGCTGTGTTTAGTTAAACCAGATGGCGGTTAGTATCTGTTTGAATTCCGACAGAACGCATCTGACATTAACGAGAGGAGAAAGTATGATCTCTTCCCAGCAGGGTACCTAACAAGATACTTAGGCTTCCGTTTTGCTTACTTTTGGAAGGTGAGATAGCTCTACTAACAGTATCTACGTGACGTATCACATACTTACAAAGCCAAAGTGACCACATAAAAGTTGGAAGGGCCGAAAGATGCGAGACACCTGAGAATTTGGATAAAGGAGGAAGGTGGAAAGGATCAAGACTTACAGGCACAAGGAAGTCAAAAGAACAGTCGCAGTGGATTCGGACTGAACCAGAACCATCAGGTTATGAATCTGTACAAGGTAGTGTTTTCGATCTTTTACTCGATTTGATGATGAATTAATTCCATCGCTTATCGGCTATTTGTATAAGCATATTTGCGTTTGAAATCCGTTGCATCATTTAGATCAAAAGAGAAGTGTATTTTTCAAAAAATGTAACGCGTTATCACAATTATTTATGAATTTTATTGTTTCTGAATTTTTTATTAAATTTTATGGTTTGTACCGGTACTGAGGCTCGCGTCATACTGTTAAATATATCTTCTCAGACCTTTACCTATTCCACCTATAAGTTTCACACTTTAGATTGATATTTAGGCGTACCGGGCAAATTACACCGTCGGCGATCACCCTCTAGATAACGATAACCAAAATCATATGACCCACCCCAACAAAGTTTGGGAAAGTTTGCAACAGCGGAAAAGACACAGAATGCTCCATTTGAAAGGTAAATAACGGTAGGGGTGCAGAAATCTATACTCTGAGTAGGAACTTGGCTCTTTTGGACAAGCAACGTTTGCATGGTTACTTGTTAATGAATAAGTAAATTGAGGCATGTATTTTTTAATGGCAGTATTTCCCGTTTTGTCTAAGCAATGTTTACACAATCACCGTTCATACTTAACAGTGAGTACCATACTTGTGTGTTGTATATTTACATAGTGTATGCTGAAATGTATCGATTAGGACTAATACTGGCCACAGCTTCTATGGATGCAAAAGATAAAAGTAGACAGTACTAATTTATGTGATATCATTGTATAGTTACATCAGAACGAATTTCATTGGCTGGAGGATAGGTCTTACCCTTGGACTCTGTTGTTTTGAAACAATTACCGGACTCTTTCGAGCCATTATTCGCGACAACTATGATTTTTGTCCCGGGAAAGCATCTTGTTTGATCATTTCCTTATCAATGGAGAAAAGTTGATCGAGAAGTCAGCAAAATGGGATAAAACTAAACGTGACTGTGACATGGAATACGAGTAAAAAAATCGGGATTTCAAAAAGTCTTTGCTGCAGGAGTTTCCTTGGCTCAAGACCAACGTAGATCGAACAATAGCATATCTGACGTCCTACTGAAAAATGTCATATCTGACGTCCTACTGAAAAATGGCATATCTGACGTCCTACTGAAAAATGTCCTATCTGACGTCCTACTGAAAAAATGTCATATCTGACGTCCTACTGAAAAAAATGTTATATCTGATGTCCTACTGAAAAATGTATCTGTCGACCTACTATAAAAATGTCATATCTGACGTACTACTGAAAAATGTCGCATCTGACGACCTACTGAAAAAAATGTCATATCTGACGACCTACTGAAAAAATGTCATATCTGACGTCCTACTGAAAAATGTCATATCTGACGTCCCACTGAAAAAAAGTGTTATATCTGATGTCCTACTGAAAAATGTCATATCTGACATCCTACTGGAAAATGTCATATATGACGTCCTACTGAAAAATGTCAATAATAAATTATCTAGATGCCAATTCGATTAAAATTTTAGATGCTATTACTTATTCAGCAGTTATAGACCAAAAATGCATTTATAGATCCTAACCATAAACCTTAAGTTACAACGCTTGCTAGTGTTACATATCTTGAAAACTCAGATATAGATGGGGTTTTACTACAATTAAGAGGGAACCTTGTAACCTCGACATACATT